GATCTAAATATTTGACCAATGTTTGTTAATAAAACTGAGGGGTTGCTTTTAGTAGACAAGCTTACGTGTGCAATAAGTAGACAATGAGCTAAGAAAGACGACGATGTACAAAGTTTCTGAGAGATCCAATCAATATCAAATTGAAACTTAAAGGGCAAATTTATAAAAGAACCGGTTCTATACTAGAACTACTTCTAGAAAATTGAAAATGGTCTACACAAATTGAAATCCTTGTTTAAAAACAACAATAGAGAGATATCGGGCAACCGGCGAGATGATTCCATCTTTGGTAGCGGTATAATCTTAGTAAGAGCGTTACGTCTCCCACAGTAAGCGTAAAATGCTACGGAATGGTTTGAGTAGTAAGCAACTCTGGCAATATTTGTTGTCTCTAACATTGTTTCCCTAGTTTCATTCATTTATTATTTAACAGTACTCTAGTAGAATTACTAAGTATTTGTAAGGTGGAAGTTTGAGCGTACTTGCACGGTGCACATTTAAAAGAAAAATGAGCCTTATGCTTGCGGAGTGTAACAGTTACGTAAAATATTACTTATGTAATAAGTTTACAAAGTTTTCAGTGTGATGTACACGTCTGTGTCTCCTTGAAGAAGTCATACTTGAACTTTATAACGTCGAAGTGCCTGTTGATAATTTAGCTTTCGGCAGTCTCTCTGAAATCGTTACCATCCTCAGATACACGATTGTATCAATAAAAAAACGAATCAGAAAAGGTGCTCTTTTAAATGAGTGCAATATAAATTGTAAAATTAAATATAAAAACTGAATAAAAGCCATTATGTCTTTGTAACCAACCATTAACGTAGTCGAGATAAAATTAATTACATTTTACACCGTTGTTTATATTTAAATGGCGAAATTGATTAAACGAACAATGCAAAAGGTAAATAAGCGTATACGTAAACGTTCGGGAGAATTGAAAATTATTTGGAAATACATAAATTAGATTTCAATCGAACTCATTTAAGCAACTTTTAGAATAAGTTATTATTCAAATATATTGAGAATCGATGCGTTTAATGTAGAGATGCAAAAGTTTGTTCTAAAATAATGAACCCATTAGTCGCTATCTGTATTCCATTACGTGAAGTCAAAAAAGGGGAAAGAGAGATTTATTTGTTCTCATTACTAGTTGTAATTACAGTTATATTGTCTTCACTTAAAGTGTTGTAATATGCAAAACCTCGTTGGCTTTGCTGTTCACTGAAATTAGTCGTTAACGGATAGGCACTTATTCATGTAAAGTGTAACTGTTAAGTTTAAGAAGGGAGGGAGTAGGCAAAATGATTTAAGACAGCCTTTATGTAAGAAGATTTAATTATGATTTAAAATATTGATGATGTTAAAATGTTCTTCTATTGACAGTTGGCTTTTTCCTTTAGAATGGTAGCAGCAATTTGGAAAATTGGATTCTGGACCGCCTTATATAATACAATCGGACATTTTGTCTCACCTGGTAAACTGACTGCTCGTTGAAAGTGAATTTTGAAAGATGGTTGACAAATTTGAACAAGGAACAAACTGTGCTTCAGGTTTCTCGCAATTTACTAGTTAAAATTGAGTTTATTCTTTGGAATAATTTACCAATGTTCCGCAGATCTAATAACAGCCCGTATACACAAGAGAGATGCACAGTTTTTTATGACAAAGTTGTTTCTTAATCGTATATCCGTTCTAAATATATTCGCAATGAACGTTTTGTACCCTAGACCACAACATTTTCGTAGTAACCATTTATTAATTAAATACGATCATGCATTGACCCGCACCATATTCGCACTGTCCTAGTTTTGACTACACGACGAAGTTCCCTTGTTGCATAAGAAACGCCTTTTAATATTGTTTTTTTTTCGAAAGGTCGGCTTACACTGAATTAATAAAGTACCCACGTTGATAAATTCGTCGAAAATTGTGGCATAATTTTGTAGTTGTGCAGATAACGATTCTTTTATATACAACAGTTATACGGCTTTTGGTTTGAACTTTTAATTTCAAAATGAAAAGCTCACATGATTCGCCTTGAAAGCTTGGCGAAAAATGTTGTGATACGTTATCTATATATATACCGGCTTTATGGTTCAGTGGTAGAGCGTTGGGTTATAAATCCGGAGGTCGGGTGTTCGAACCTGGGTTGAGGTGAATTTTTCATCTGTGGTGAAGATGGGAATTACCTGAGACCAGTTCCGAGCATTCTACTGGCTACTCCGAATTAGGTTTTCCTGCAGTTTTCCTAATTAGTAAGGTAAATAGCGGAGTAGTATAGACCAACTTAAGACCTTCTGCAGAGGCACCTCTAAATAGCATTATGCGGGGGTCACTCTGTAATTGGGCACATGCCTGTTGAGGGCCCAGAACAAGAGAGGGATAATAAATAAATAAATCTATAAATTTCTGCGCTTACGTTACGTAGGTTTGCCTACAAAATTTGGCTAAGAATGCCGATTTTTGTACTCGCCGAGCTCTAATGATAAAACGACGCCAACGAAACCCAAGAGTTCACTCTCTTTTTTATACATGTGAAGGTATAGCAAAAACACTGTCTCTTATGACGGTTTTTAGAACATTCGTTTCTTATTTTAACCCGCTTTACTTTTCGCATATTAGTTTTCGTTTTCTTTCCGGTACACGCCTTTCCTATACCGGCAATTTTGTAAATCTAAAACAAACTCTCTAAAGCCTACGGCGACCACCCCGTTACGTCTTCCACAAAAATTATAGATGTGTGGACAAACTGTGTGGCGAGGTACTAGGGGCGGGAAAAAACGTAGACAGGTCTTGGAGAAGTATAGTGAAATAAAACGTTTCACCTCATCTGCACAGACCTAGAAAAGGCGTATGATACTGTACCGGCCTCGGTACCGGCCGTGGAAGTGGATCTGGAGGTTTATGAACACGCGGGGAATATAAGAGAAGTACGCGCGTCTCGTGACAGATAATATTTAGGATGCGCAATACCTACATTTTTATATTTTATACGAGGTATGAACTAGGAAAGACCAACACACTGTGGCAAGACCTTGTATAATCGGCTTGTGACTGCGTAAGAGTAATAAAATAAACGACAGTTTTCAGTATAAACTAATTAATATAGACAACTGCGGTATTAAAAGCTTGACTATAACCGTGTAAATAGAATAACCGTACGCTTTCCGAAACACCACGTACATGTATCAATTTTAATCGACATTGCAAGTACGAACACGTTTACCGAGATCTTTGACTTAGTGGAATGCTGCGATTGCTGAATGAGTGAGTTAAGGTCGACTTAATGTGAGACCAGCTGCATTTTTTAATTATCAACATACGTTGGGGTTTTTCCATTTGCCGCAAAGAAACTACAACTACCAAAGGACGATGACCTTGCCCTAGGGTAATTTTGTACTACGCAGCAATTTCCGCCATTTTCAAACGAACTAACGTGTTTATTTGCATTTTGTTATCATTTAAAAAAGTCACACATTGTTGTGATGCGTAAAGAATTTCACGTATAAAATTAAGTTTCCTAATTTTTTATGTATATGTTACGGGCAAAGACGATAATCCGGCCAATGACGATATTGGCCGGTCAATGACGATAAGGACCAGCCAAGTTGGACATTCTCCATAATTACCGGGCGATAACGTTAATGACCATTAGATTCGGCCAATGTTGTTAATTCATTACACAAGCGCGCTATTAACATCATTGCCCGGGCAATGTCGTCATTTCCCGTTGGTTAACGGCCAGTGATGATAAATCAAAAAGTTAGGTTATATGTTTCTGTTGTGTTTATTGTGGGGTTACTCTATCAGTGTAGTTTAGTTTAATTTTTTAAATCGAATTCGTCATGGATCACAATGAAATGCGCCGCAGGTTTACTAAAAATATAAACGCTATCATAGAAATCAAACGCGATGACAATAAATCTTTTTTAAGCGTTGACGAATATAACAAACGTATTGATGAAGTTAAAGAGGCAAAAGCTTTACTGTCAACACCCGGCTCAGAAAAAGGCATGAAGCACTATAGGCGGGTGCGTAAATATGACGTCATTACAATAGGTGGAAAAGACCGTCTAATTAAACCTGTTGCTCAAACAGCTGAATCGAAGGTCCTGTACTACGTCACTAATGGAGAATTGTTTGATATTATTCATAATGCTCACTTAGCTATAGGACATGGTGGAAGAAATCGAATGATTGCTGAGATAAACAAACTCTACTGCAACATTACCAAAAAAACGATAATGGTATACCTACGACTCTGTACTCAGTGTCAGAAAAAAAGTAGTACTCCAAAGAAAGGGTTAGTTCCTCGACCTATCCCGCATTCCAATTTAAATTCACGTGCTCAGGTTGATTTGATTGACATGCAATCGCAAAGTTACAACGATTACCGTTTTATTATGGTCTATCAAGACCATCTTACAAAGTTTGTTTTGCTGAAACCGTTAAGAACCAAAAGGGCAGAAGAAGTCGCGTTTAATTTATTAGAAATATACACTACCTTTGGAGCACCTTTAATTCTTCATTCAGACAATGGTCGAGAGTTTGTCAATTCAGTTCTGGTAGATTTACATGCGATGTGGCCAGAGGTAAAAATTGTTCATGGCAAACCTAGACACAGCCAGAGTCAAGGATCGGTTGAGCGTGCCAATAGGGATATTGAGGAAATGTTAGGCGCGTGGATGGATGAAAATCAAACAACAGACTGGCCTTCAGGAATGAAATTTATCCAGTTCAAGAAAAACCGTGCACTTCATTCTGGTAAATGGGTTTTATGCAACACAACAAAGTTCAGAAAAATTTAATCACCCATTATAATACATTTTCTTCAGGTATTGGGAGATCTCCGTACGAGGCCATGTTCGGATGTCCGGCTAGAGTAGGATTAGCCTCAGCTGGCATTCTCCATGATGAAATTAATCATTTGTCCACTGAAGAAGATGTTGAAACTTTGATAGAAGAAATGGGACGAGAGTCTAATGACCTCGAGGATCCTAATCCGCAAAGGGAAAGAGGAGATGAAGAAGGGATAGTTCCACAAATCATCCAATTCGAATATGAAAATGGAACTAATGATACTGGAAGCGCGACTGAAAGCAGTAAGTTAATTCATTCAATACAGTTTCAACTTATTGTAAATATCTAGCTATACCCCCCACCGACATTGTAGCGTACGAGGATAGAATAGTTTGCAACCAGTGCTCTACAGTCTTACCACTTGGCGAAGAAGCTAGTAATGATGGGAAGTGCATTCATTGCGAACGCCAAGAGAACATTGTTAATGAGCGTAAAAGATCCAGGGAATGTTTAGAAAAACAAGCCACCAAAATGCTGAAACTGTCTAATCGAAAATTCTCCGACGTTCAAGCTGGAACTACCGTTCGTGTACCCATACCAGACGTAGATAGAGCTCGTGGTTCTCCCCGTAATGTACTGGCTGTTGTTAATAGTGTAGAAGACGGTTTATATAAACTTGGTGAGTTTTACCATGTTTTACTCAGTTGGCAATGTCAATTACGCAATAATTCCGACATTTTAGGTACACCCCATGGCGCGTTGAAGCATAAATTTACCAGGTCAGAGTTTAATCCTTGCATTGAAAAGTTTATTCTATTAGAGAACCTTAGCGATTCCGCAAAAAATAAAGAAATTTCCCTGAGAGAAGTGGCCGCTGAAAATAGTGTTTTAGGGGGACAGGGTTACAAACGTTGTCACTGCAAGGGCGGATGTAAAAACAATAAGTGTGCTTGTCGCGCTAACAAGAAAATTTGCAATTCGAAGTGCCATGGATCTCTCTCATGCCACAATAAAAATGATTAATTATCCTTCTTATATTATTTTGTACAAACTATTATTATATAAACTTTTTAATACAGTTCAGAATAAAAATAAAAAATTGTAGTGATAAGTACCTACATTATATCTTACCTGATGTTACCATCAACCATGATTAATAATTATTTAAAAAAAAAGATAATCATACCTAACAACATTCTCCAGAAAATCTTGGGCATTATCGTTAATGACCGGGCACAGACGTTAATATGAAAATAAGATTGGAATAGTAACAACATTACCCTTGCGCAAAGGTCCATAACGTTAATTCCCGGTCATTAATGATAAGGACCAGGAAAAATGGGCATTCACATCATTGTCCGGGCATTATCGTTAATGTCCAATTATCGTCTTTGCCCGTAACATATATACACCATGTACATAAAGTCCGAGAACACTTTAACATATTTATTGTATAAGAACAGACAAATGTACAGGATCATTTATGCACTGTGTTTAAGATAAGGATGTCTATGATGGGGATCTCCGAAAAAATAGAAGATACGACGATGGTCAAATTAGGGGAAAGTTGCGCAATTATCATGCTTTAAAGAAAATCAGAACATTTTGATTTTTCCGCAGATATTGTAACAGTATTTCTGTACAGGTTATTTAAGGTTTTATTTTTACGTAATTAAAGTGACCCCCAAGTACGAATGATGTGACTGAATGGGAATGCATTTAAAGGAGAATTGTTTATTTCAAGTTATTGTAGCCGAGTGTGCATTTCAAATATAGCCGCTATGACGCAGAAAGGGAATTAAACATAAGTAATAATCGCGACGTAAATAGAATTGCGTTCACCGTATGTAAATATGTAAATTAGGGTAAAAAACTGTATAGAAATAACAAGTATTAACGCTAAGGTCAAAGTCCGAGTCATTGTAAATAATTAATTGAGAGCTAGTAGAACCACTTAAGTCCGTCTGTTGCCAAAGTGTCAAAAGCTTAAGTCACGGGCGTTCAAGTTATTTATACATGTGAGAGTTTGCGCGATAAAGCGAATTGAGGCCAGCGGATACAAACTGCGAAAGTATAAACACGGGGATTTCAAGCACCAAAGAGGAGTTGCCCGTCGCCTTTTTACGGAGCAACATCTATGTCAGTCGCGCCCGCAAAGTTATAAGCGCGGAGTTTAATAATAGAGCGTTAAGGCGAGTATTCCTTCGCGCTTGTTCCGTCTGCGGTCCGTGCGTAGTCCAGCTGGAGAGTACCAAACGAAGACCAAGATAAACCAGCCTGCCTGTGATTGGTCCAACTAAAAAGCGAATAGCAGCCTGCAGTGGGCGGTCCGAATTCATTCGACTTCCACATCGATTGTGAAACAAAGTTATCCTCCAAGTCCTGGTGCACTTATGAACTAGAGGTATTTATAAACAATATTGCGTTGTAGTTATTTTGCGTTGTTATTAGCCTCGTGGTAGACTTATTATTGCGTTGTCGTTTATTTATTATTACAAGATTATTATATTGTAAAGGCGATTTAATTACCTACTAGTGTTGCGTTCAGATCAGTGCTTATTAGCACTGTTTGTGTTCATTTTAACGACTCGAACTTGAAAGCGTTATTACACGCATTTACAGCAGTTTTGTTTTGACTTTCGATTAAATTGGATGATCATTTATGAAATCCGAATTAAGTTTCTTTCTGTACTCAGCGGTTTTGGAGTAAATACTCCAATGATTTTAATTCACGTAGTAAATACAGATTTTCCTTTGTATACAGTGACTTTTTGTGTATGAATGAGTTAACCCTACTTTTACAGGAAAGTACCGCCTCGTCCCCATTTCTCTTAATATGTGTTATTTACAGTTAAAAGGCGATTTCTAAGAGAAAAAGAACTCGACAGGTTTTAATAAAGATTATTGATTTCTATTCATTTATCCTTTCCCCTCTCCTTGAGGCCAGAAGAATTATCGACTGAAGCTAGCCGGTGCCCAACAACCCTTAGTTTAGATAAGAAGAACCACCCCCAAATACAATATATGGCGAGAAGAAACGGTAAAGAGAGTTGAAAAGTAGCCAGCCGGTTACAATATGGCGGATACACCTCGTGTTCCCTTTTATCGGACAAAAGAACCGCGCTAAAAAAATTCCGGATCAGAGGTTAAATGTACATGACATCTAAAATATACAAAGATTAACAATCCGAGGAAGAACCCTTAAATTTGAACAATTTAAATCTGACGTTAATTTAATACAAAATTTGATAGGCTAAAGAAAGGGCTGTGCATGTAGATTGAAAAGCACCTTCAATCCTTTCCCATTTGTGAAGGGTAACATTTAGGAGTCTCTTACAAGGAGTATATGACATGAATTGTTAATTAGTCGAATCTCCTCCAATCCAGAAGGTATCTGAAGGTCTTGGGTATGGTAACCTTATGCTAAAGTTGTATTTCGAGATTAATGCCGTTAAGTATCTTGATCACTTCGGCATTTAATCAAATAACTAATCTCAAATAGTAATTAAATTGTTTCAACAAACTAGGATTGGTTATATGACTCGAAACATGGGATGCCATTATACGGATAAGACCATAACAGAGTTCTCCTACAAAGAAGAAACTTAATGACGAGGTAAATCAAGTATAACTGCAAAAAAACCAAACCTCTTTCGTAACGAGTAGGTAGGTGTTTATACAAAAATCCCCCAACTAAAAACACGTGACGTTTGAAACGCCATCGCACTCGGAAAAACTTTATTAAACGTGCTTTATGAGATTCTTGTCAAATTAATTGTATAAAAAGTGATTATATAAGGAATTAAGCATCAGCTGTTGCGTTCGTTCAAGAACCGATTTCGTGTCAAGATAAGCACGAACGAGCGCTTGCTTGGTTTCGCCTACGTAAAAGTAAGAAATAAAATTAAATGGTTAAAAGTGCATTTTTAGCTGCACTATCGATGGTAATTTCCTTTTCCAACCTTACATTTACATCCGCCCATTAGCTGAGAGTGCATTTTTCTACTTCGCTTACTTATACCTACACCCCCTTTGGAATCGGAAGGAAAATTACTTTATATTATTACAATATCATTATTCTCAATATTCCACCCGAACCACTGCATACCAACCATTTTTAGTGGAATAATAAAACTAAAATAGCTGCGTGACAAAATCTTATTTCTGTTTTACATAGTTTAACAAACTTTTATCATGGCAAATCGGAATTTCAACTTCCGGCTTATACTTTTTCAGTAAGCAACTACGGCCAGGTTGCAATCTTGCTAAATAACAACAAACTCGAAAATGTTTTGCTCCGTTCGCTCGGCGAGGGTATAAAAATGCTAAGCCTCCATATCCAAGCGGGATTAAAACTAAAGCTTATGTTATTACGTGATTTAAAAGTTTTTGTTAGATCTGGTAGTTAAAATCTTGACTGAAAAAGGCAAAAGGTACACGCGTGTGTCGCATAAAATACAGTAACCGTAAAGTAAACCTCAACAGGATTATACGAGGGTATTTATTTTTTCTATGAATATAAAATTCGAATCACGCTAAAGCTATTTTACTGGTTGCTGCTTTTTACTTTAAAATTTAAACGATTTCAAACTATATGCATCGAACATCAACGAGAATACGTTTATCACTAACTTTAATTTGAAAACTTTCTGCGTTTTAAGCAGGAACTGCTTTTTCGCGAAAACTACTTTCAGAATGTTATGTGTTTACATAATGCTACAACGTAATTAGCTTTAGTTTTTGTGGGAGTAGTCACTTTGAGTGATGCATTGCTCTTGTTGCTCTTGAATGCAGCGCTTTTTCACATTCGTGCAACTACCATAATGGCATAATTGTTTGAAACGAAGTAGACTTATGTACAGTTTTGGTGGTCTGTTTGAAGTTCAGACAAAACCATTCGACGTTATGTCACACTGTAATATCATATAATAATAGGAAAATAAAAAGGCACTATACTCTTGATGTAGAGGTTTAAAAAAGTAAAGCTTTCAAAACTATCATAACTACTTTAGCTCGTAGTCATGTTTTTCTATTTTTCGAAAGCAAAAAATACTTACTGGTTTTATTGGCCCATTCGCCTGCGCTAGTGTTAAAAATTACGATCTTAATCCTTTCCCTTCTAAATAGTCCTAAAAATGCGATTTTCCATTTTTCTTGGCTTTCCCACAATGGAATTCCAAGGCAGATGATGGAGATTTAAACTCGAGTTTAAACTCTTCAAATATTCTTTCGAGCAACAGCGATTTTTTCTACGAGCATATTCCTGAAGGAGTAGACGAAAAGCCTGTTCCTTATGTTGTTGTCGTAATATAAATAATAATACTTTTGTAATTAGTAATTGTTTAAGGATCTTCTTAAAGCTGCTTACATTCTACATTGTACATCTACTTCTATATCTTATCACGACTGCCAACTAAACTTTCTTGATCATTTCCAACATATACAAGGTACTCCAACAAACCCCATTTCTGCCAGCAAGCAAGTTCGCTATTTTTTTGACAATAAGAATAAGTATTCGAAGGAGACTATAATGTTCTAACCACGTTCTAAGCAAAACTGTCAAACCAACAGAGTTGCCAAATAAATCATGCAGTCTTGGAAAGTAATCTTGTCGCAGCAAATACGTGCCCAAATCGAATGCAATATTTGTGTGCCAATTTAATTTTAAGATGTACAAACGCAGTTTACAGAAACTGTACAAAAAAGAAGTTACTTTCCAAATCCAAAACGATATTATGCAAAATAGTCCCTACTGATTAGATTATAAACTATCGTGTAGAATCAGAATTTACCCACATTTGAAGGTATCTATTAATTATTACATTGTGATTGACGTTCCTTCGTTTAGTGTCACTTTTCGTCCCTTATACCATTCGGAAAAAAGGTAGCACGTACTCTGTCAAAGAAATGATAGAACACGTTATTTAGCCCACGAAGTACAAAAATACTATTTCTCTATTACCCCGATTAATTAAAAAACTAGCGCAGGCGTTTTTGTCATTATTTCAAGCAAATTCCACTAA